GAAGTCGGTTGCCCAACCGACTGAGCCACCCAGGCGCCCCTAGGCTGCATCTTTAATATGTGTGTTTTGGCTCATATGTACAAACACACACTTGGAAATGAATAACAAACTTGAGTCAAAGCGTTATAAAAAGTGATGTGCATAAAAATGATAAAAGCACATTTTATTTATTTAAAAAAATTTTTTTTACATTTATTTATTTTTGAGAAACAGAGTGAGACAAAGTGTGAGCAGGGGAGGGGCAGAAAGAGAGGGAAACACAGGATCTGAAGCAGGCTCCAGGCTCTGAGCCATCAGCACATAGCCTGATGCGGGGCTCGAACCCACGAACTGTGAGATCATGACCTGAGCTGAAGTCGGACGCTCAACCGACTGAGCCACCCAGGCGCCCCAGAAGCACATTTTAGATCTGAGTGGATGGTTCACCTGGTCCATCCTTCTCATGGTGCAGAGGAGGCCCCATGAGGTCTCATACCTTTTTTACATTGCCTGTTTGCTTACTGATCTATTTTGATACAGGCAAAAAGCTTAGGGACAACAGTTCATACAGAAAGTGCTTAATGTTTGTTGTAAGATGAAAGAAGCAATCCTACCAAGGCAATTAATTATAGTTAACTATATTTCAAGCTTACTGAATTCAGACACAGCAGAAAAATAATTTAATCGATCAATTAAAACAGTTACAAGCTCAAAAAGTTAAATGAATAACAATTTCGTTGGCAGTAACATTTAAACAACTTTGAAACTCTTTTCAGCTTTCTGGAAAAGCATGTGTTTTGACTGTCACTTTTATTTTTTATTATTTTTTTTTTAATTTTTTTTTCAATATTTTATTTATTTTTGGGACAGAGAGAGACAGAGCATGAACGGGGGAGGGGCAGAGAGAGAGGGAGACACAGAATCGGAAACAGGCTCCAGGCTCTGAGCCATCAGCCCAGAGCCCGACGCGGGGCTCGAACTCACGGACCGTGAGATCGTGACCTGGCTGAAGTCGGCCGCTTAACCGACTGCGCCACCCAGGCGCCCCTTGACTGTCACTTTTAAATAATAAATTTTGATAACAAGTTAAGGACATTTTTTCCCCCACTCCCCTAAAATGGATGTTAGCATTGTACCTGAAAGAGACGGGGTAAAGGCTGTTTTTGACCCCTTTCACTGATGGACACATTCAACTCATTTGAGATGACATTTCATACTTGTATAATGACTTGTATAAGCTTGTACAGTTTATAACTTATTACTTTGTAATACATTTTTAAGATTACAGCCCATACTTCTTGGTGCCAAGCACAGAGCTAAGACCATAGGTAGGTTTCTCACTTCATGTTAACACCAGTTCTGTGAGCTAAGGACTATTATTTTTTCCCATTTCTCAGACGGATAAACTGAACTACACAGAAACTAAATAACCTACCCAAAAAGGCAGTAAATTAAACATACACATTTATTGCACTCCTTCTCTAAACCCAACTGAAGTGATAGTGAAGGAATAAAAACATAATACAGAGATCCGTAAGGACAGAGACAACAGGGGCGACAATAACCATTAGCAAAATTTTGGAAGCTGGGAAACAGAAGGGCAATTACGGAGTCAGAAGACTGGGGCATCTAAGGTCAAGTCTGCATATTAAACCGTGAGATTCCTTTACCCCTCAGGTTGCAGATCCCTGGTATGTAGGCTTACACCGTCCCTCCCCACTCCCCGCCAAAGCAGGAGGCAGGAAGATCCTCTCTAGGAAAACCCACAAGTCCAAGATAAAGAACTACAAACACATGTGAGGAGTAGGGAGTCTGCCAATGACAATCATGGGCTCACCCCTCTCAGACTAGAGAGACCACATTCAACAGTCCTGCCCCTTCTGCAGCTTTCAAATTAGCTTTCCAGTGCTCCAGTCTTAAATACAAGTGAACAGCCAACGATAACCAGATATTAAAGGAAGCTTCTAACATCAAAGTCTAAGACAAAACAAGAAACTCAGAGGAAACAAAAACAGTGTAGGAATCAGAAGAAAATTTCCGAAAATTTATACTGTACACAGAGTTTAAAAAATGTTTATTTTGTTTCAATCATGTATATATATATATATATATATATATA